AGAACTATTCTAGTGTTAGCAATTATCAACCCAGAACTACTCTAGTGTTACCAAATATCAACGCAGAACTATTCTAGTGTTATCAATTATCAACCCAGAACTATTCTAGTGTTATCAATTATCAACCCAGAACTATTCTAGTGTTATCAATCACCAACAATGTTTAATTAATTAGTAACGCACATACATCTGTGTCAACACTCAGTGTGAATAATGGTCTTATATACATTATCTAATTATTCAATAACCCCGACGACCTTTCTTGTGGTAGCTGCAAAATACGTCAGTATTTGATCTACATTATCATCTGTACATGAATTATTCAACATACAATATATTAAAATATTGTCAAAATTACATAACAAATTATTTAAATATGTTAGTTTGTTAACAAAAGACACATCTGTCACAGTGAGTCCTGAACAACACATACATCAATAATGACCATTAAGTATAATTACATTTAAATAAGACGGTAAGATCAAAGCATTAGTGTTGTCACCAACTTGTGTTTGTCATAAGCTATGGAAAAATTATTATGCCAAATGTAATATAACAAAATTAGCTAAGTAGCGAATAATCTTAATGTTCAAGACACATTGTCAGTTTGAAGGAATTATTTTAAACATCTCTGTCCTTCATGAAGTATTCACTGTATGTATTCATTTGGGGTCATTGAAACAAAATCAATACACAATATACACGAAATTAATAATTAATAAATTAACCATTGATATCATTTCTAGCTATAAAAGTACTGTGTATTAATGTGACAGTCGTGTCTGTTCCCTTTGCAGGGTTCTATTGCTATGAAAGTACTTTCTATAAATGTGACAATCATATCTGTGTTCTTTAAAATATTCAAGGTATAAAAGTACCATGTATAAATGTGACAATCGTGTCTGTGTTCTTTAAAATATTCAAGGTATAAAAGTACCATGTATAAATGTGACAATCGTGTCTGTGTTCTTTAAAATATTCAAGGTATAAAAGTACCATGTATAAATGTGACAATCGTGTCTGTGTTCATTGAAAGATTCAAGGTATAAAAGTACCATGTATAAATGTGACAATCGTATCTGTGTTCTTTGAAATATTCA